TAGGACGCCACGCCACTGGTATTAATACCATCGTGGGGGGTTTTCTTGAATTGGACGTCACGGTTAAGAAGGGGGCTGTATCCACACTGAGGAGGACCCTATGTGTTATTATTATAAAGTCAGAATAAATATAGAATACGCCTCTGGGCCGCTGTGAGGCCCAGCCTCAAAGGTAGCTTCGCGCCCTCAAAAGGCGGCTTCCTCTGTCATTTTTCAAGAATTCGAAGGAGGCAGAGGGCGGACTCATCAACAGTAGAGTGGCGTGAATGATCGATTATCGATATTTCTTCATTTGAAGCCATGGTAAAGACTCGATTGTAAAGGTGTTCGCTGCGAACACCCTGTTTATTGATCCTTTTCCATAGGTTTGAATGACAGATCTATCGATAAATCGCAAACATAGGAATCGACCCAGTAGGTCTCCAAAACAAACACATTGTCACTTTCCGGCCAAAGTATCACAAGCGCCAAGCAACGACTCGTGATTGCATTTAGCAAAAAGAACCAGCGCGATTACAGTGTTTTCAAAATCGTGCAAATTCTTATTTTCTTCTAAAAATATTTAATACAAGTGCAGTATTAAAATGTACACAATCATATATTTTCCCTTAAAATCAACCATTTTTTGATGATAAGCAAAAACTATTTGCAATTCTGGTAGATTTTTTAGATAATTCTGAAGAAGCAACATTTTTACAACAGTTTAATTGTACTGGCTCCTTTTTGCCAAATGTAATCCACTTGATTTCAAATACACCCATTTTAGTTGGATTTCATTCTGCAATAAGGAACCACTATCTCTGGCTCTCCCATAAAAGCACGTATCTGCATAGGGAAACTAATCGCATATAGGTTGTTTTTAAAATGCGCCAGAAATAGTGGTTCCTTATTGTAAAATGTAATCCAATTTATCCCTTAAACTCAGTGCAAAATATTCGGTTATGAACTCTAATTCGCTCATGTTCCTTTGCGGATATTTCGCGTTGGTCGGTAGCGAGTATTTTTAGCTTCACCTATTGGAGAACAATGCTCGTTTCTCGCCATTTTCAATCAACACTGTTGCCGAGTATGGATAAAAATGGTCGCGAATATCTGAGTATTATATGTACAAAAATAGGGGTGGCTCCGACTATTCGACAAGGATAACTTTCTGACGCTTTCAGTTTCGCGTTCGACTTCGGATCGTCTTTCACTGAGGAAGAATTCCAGCCTCTCCAGTACGTGGGAACATAGCATCCACATAGGAACACGCTTTTATCGCAGATTATCCAGCCCGAAAGGAAAATTTTCGGTGAAAATCGTACATCAGGAAGAGTATATGAGACGCATGTCTCTTATGAGCGGCACGCTATAAAACTCCACCGTATATGATCAAATTAGATGCTTAAAGAGCAAATCTACAACATGATTTGGATTACATTTTGTAACAAAGAACCACTATTTCCGGCTCATTTTAGAAACAACATATCGATGGTGTAAGTCGGCAATCACATAACTCGGTGTCTGAAAATCTCCGCCTCTATAAGTTATTTTTTTAAAGGCGAACAAATTGAAATCATTCCTTGAAGTTTTTGCAGAATTTTCTACGCGGAGAGAAGAAAAATCACGGCAGTTTTACAGAATTGCCATTGAGTAGTTTTCCGTATAAAAAATAAAGTATGATAGGAAGTCTGCGACGTCGCAAACCGAGTTATGTGATTGCCAACTTACGCTGTCGATATGGTAATGGAGCAAGGGAAAGGACGCGAGTTGATGACGGCGCAGAGATACAACTATTCGTGCTTGATGGATGTCCGTGTTGCGTCTTCAAAATTGAAGGCGCTATAGCGCGACGCGACGTCGAAAACTGAGTTATGATACAGGCCGGCTTACACTGTCGATTCGATAGAAGCCATTAATTTCTCCATGCAGATGAGCGTTTTTATGGAAGAGCTAGAGATAGTGGTTCCTTATTGCAAAATGTAATAATCCATTTGGTGTGCTAATCCTTGATATCCAGCGCTTTTCAAGTCAAGACCTCCAAAACCTTCAGAGAAAAAATACTTTTTCTTTTTCGAGAAAAGGATGCTACTATTCAACAGCTTCAACACTCTCGACTTTGAACCATATTTAGAATCTGTTATTCGTCTAGTTTTATTTGATCTACAAACGAAATAATTTTTGGCTACAATTCTACCTCCAGTAACTTTAAAAATAATAACATTTGTTCGCGCGATCGAAGGCAATCTAGTTCAATTTTGCAATTGTTTGAGTATGAAAAAGTTCGGCTTGTACAAAATACGATTTAAATTTTCCCTTTCATTAAAATTATATTTGGTTGAAATCTCATCAAATTTCTTGCCATAAATTACATGTTTCTGTGCCCCTATCATCCGAGACTCAAAAGTTAGTATAGATTTTGACCCAATTGTGCCCCAAGCCGAATATTGCATAAGTATAATTAGATTAGCAACCCAAACTTTCAGTTTTCAGCGTTTGCAATAAACTTTCAAATCACACTAATCTGAGATAGGTGCAGGTTCAATTCGGTCAAAAAGCAACCTTGCGTGAATTGAGCAGTAATTCTGCTCAGCAAACCGAGTATTTCATTACCTATCAAAATATGTGAAATTGAACACTCGCCGTTTGGTTCAAATGACACAATTTTTTTATATTGGCAAATAATCATTATATTCTGTAAAATGAACTTCTTCACTAATTTTTGATTCTTGCATTTTTTAAAGTAGAAAGTGCGCACAGTTTACAGGAATTTTTCCCAATTTCGCTAACACTGTTCAATAAATCCGGAAAAATTCCTGTAAACTTTGCGTACTCTTTACTATTGAAAAATGAAACAATTAAAATATACTGAACAAGCATCATTGTTCCTATATACTCTTATTCATTCGTGGAGAGTATCATCTTTTGCATTTTGCATAGCATGAAAGTTTTCCCATATTCCTCCCCTCAAAATGCCCATTATGTATAAAAAAAGTTGAAGACTCCATCATTTCTCTTTCCAAAATTGCGGAAAAGTAAAACCATTTTGATAATCCTAGGAGGGTAAGCCTCCTGAGCGCTGTGCGGTCCGGGGACACCCCCCCCCCCCCACTTCAGGAGTCATGCATTACGCGTTTCTAATAGTTTTATATTGGAGAGTATGATTTGGCAAGATTAAGGCAGTTTTAAGGGTGAGTCTCGAATTCTGTGAAAATATTAAGGTAGAAATACTTACCTGATTTTTTTCGCGGGAAAACATTGCTGAGCTCTCCAGGAAGAGCGGGATGAAGTTTCCTCGTTTCGGAGAATTATGGCACTCACGGAAGCCTTTCAACAATGAATATCTCCATTTAGGAGGCGCAAGAAAATTGAATATTGACAAAGAGGAGTTTTGCACGAGTAACATACATTGTGACCAAAAGCAAGTTGTGTTACCGTGAAGGAAAATGGGTGAAAAGTATCATTACCTATGTTGGGTGAATGACCGAAGCTCCCCCTCCCTCCCCCCCTTCAAAGCTGAAACTAAGTTTCACCTGTATTCCGGCATAAACCGGGAATTTCTATGACAAAATATAATTTTATGCACTCTATTTTAAGCCCCTCATTTACGGTGAATTTTGTTGTGAGCTTTCCTAAAGAAAAATCTACTCGTGTTTTATCAAATCGTGTGTGTATCGGATTGTGATCATCAATGAAATCACGCGGTTTAATCGTTTCGACCTCGACAAGTCAAGCTGCAAATTATTGAAAAATTAAAAATTAAAATTTTGAACTTACTGACAAAATTGTTTTAACTAAATTTGTAGTATCGTCGAATTTAGGAAGTGTAATTAGTCCTCAACTTGGTATATCACGTATTGTAACCGAGGAATTTTTCATTTTTAAAGCAATTATTATCAAATAATTTCAAGAGAGGAAAACGTATTTGAAGGAAAATTTAACAACATAATGATAGTTATTCCGATTCCCTACGGATTTTATTTATACGTAAAATGAAAAGCCGTGAATATTGCTCAAAGAAATTTTGTTTGCAGTGCTGCAGTGCAGATCCTTCCATTTAATTTTCCTTCAATTGAAAGGGTAGGCAATATGCACTCGCAAGAGTTTGAATAGTGGTATTAGAATCTTTGGTCTTGTTTAAACGTGTTACCAGAGCTTTTATCCTTCCTACTACGATAAATAAACAGAAAAGAGAATACCTTATGTTATTTTTCAACTAATTATTTTGTCAAATGTCCTAATTTTATTGGATGAGGACTTTCATTGAAATAATTTAAGCTATATAGTGAGATTATTTTTCGTCACAGTGATAAACTGACATGCGCACCACTTACTATGATCATATCCTCAAATTTAATGCAGGGAACGCATTACTTCTGACCTCACTCACTTTATGGCACCATAATTATTATCCGCAATGGGACTAGAAAAAAGGGGCTTGCATGCATTTTGAATACCACATTCTCAGCTTTGAATGGGTCAGTTACGCTGGTCACAGCATCGTTTTTTGATGCTTGACTCCTGTATATTATAGCTAAATACAGTAAGATCTGTCTAAACAGCAACTTTCTACGTTCAATATTAGCCGAGCTATAGCCCTTTGAAAAGTCGGATTTTTGACGTCATCCACCGCGGTAATGACACCCTTTGTTTCTTCCACCTTGCTTTCCTCCAAGTTTCACGTTGAACAACCAGTGCAAATGTACGTCATACCGACTGATGAAAGCAAGGCGAAAGAAACCAAGGGTGTCACTGCCGCGGTGGATGATGTCAAAAACTCGACTTCTCAAAGGGCGATGTGTCGATTAATATCGAACGTAGTAAATTGCTGTTTGGACAGATTTTATTATTTTTAGCTGATCTACAAGAATCAAGCATCAAAACACGCAATTGTGACCAGCGCAACTGACCCATTGCTGCCTTTTGTTCGTGGGCCGATCGGGCACATTACAGCTGCACTTCCAAAAAACTTATATCATATTTTAGCGTCTTAATTTTTTCATTTTTCTTTTCATCCACAGGTGTGCAATGATTCGGGTATCGAAGAGTTAAACAAAGGAGATGCAAATGAACTCAAAACAGATCAAAAAGACACGAAGGAGCAACACCCTATTTCTAGCCATCTACATGAACGTGAAAATTCGGAAGAGGCAGATTTGGAAAGAGAATATGACATCGTCAAATTCTCACCAGAGCCGGAAATACAACAAAATCTTGAGCCTATTATAAACCACCCAACTGGAGGCAGGATACCAGAAAAAATCGATAAAACTGAGGCAACTCGCAAAGTTGAAGATGTTTCAAATGGTGACACATCCAATACTCAAAAGACACGCATTTTAAGCCTTTACGACTCATTTATTTCTAATCCTAGCGATGGAGCAAATGCAATATTTACAACAGCATTGACATCTACGGTGGACAAAACCAAATCAGAAACAATAACGAACAAATGTGAAATACGCAATAATAAAGAACAAGAAACATTCGTTGAGGGCTTCCACAGTGACGGAGAATCTAGTCAACTCAGAGTCAGAGCAACTGAACCGAACGGAATACAGCCTATGACGAAAGAAAATAACTGTGATGTAACATTAAAAAGTGTAAATGACTCAGATCAAGCCACTCCAGAAGAATCAAATTCTACGCACGAATTCAAATTTGATGAGTTGATGTCGAAGATACTAACGGAAGTCGAGGTTGGGTTAGAGACAGAAGAAAAAGTTGACAAACAGTTAAAAATCAGAGCAGTCGAACCAAGCGATATCCAACCTGAAACGGAAGAGAACAACTGTGACGCAACTTTAAAAAGTGCAAATGATTCAGATCAAGTCATCCCAGAAGAATCAAATTTTACGCAGGGTTTTAAATTTGATGAGTTGGTGTCGAAGATACTAACGGAAGACGATGTAGAGCTAGAGGTAGGCGGAGAATTGAACAATGTCACCGAAGAAGAGCCGGAGCGGGTAGAAGGAGAGGAGGTACAGAGCGAAGGGTCTAACGGAGACGAAGAGGAGGACGAGGAGACAAAAGAGAGGCGCGAGAGGAAGCGGAAGGAGATGGAGGAATTCAAACTGGCGTTGGCGGCGAAGAGGAGCGAGCGACAGAAGGCCATAGCGAGCATCGTCGAGGAGATGCGAACCCTCCGGAAAACCAGCGAGGAGCTCGAGAGTGAACGGGAGGAAAAGAAACGTCTCGAGGCTCACGTCACCGCGCTCAAGGATGTCGCCGCCATCAGCAGACAGATGCTCAAGATCAGAGAAATCCAGGTTGGTTCTGCTTGATCGGATCTATGCTGCAGGCTGATTATTGAAATTGATAGACAAAGCAATAGGCAAAGAAGACAAGAAGGATATGGAGGGATCATATTGGTAGAACGGGTCCCTTTACACTGAGAGTCAAGACAATTGAATCCATTTCTGATTGGTTCCCGTATTTTAGGCCTTCACAGTGTCACAAACGGGAATAAAGATTACATTTTCATCGATTGCAAAGATTATAATCTGGAATGGACCAGGGAATTACGAGTTCGGCAAGGAACAAACGGAATTAGAGAAGGAACGGAGAAAGGAATTTAAGAATGGGCCGATCAAAGATTACAAAGAACGTTCAATTTCTGTAATCTTTATTCCCGTTTGTGACTCCATGAGGGGTGTTGTCTTGACTCTCAGTATAAAGGGACTCTAGAAGCGGGTAGTTGCAATGGACAAAGGACGTAGTTAATAGACTAACTAATAGCAAACTACGAGGGACCCGATAGTTAGTCCATTATTTACCCCTTTAGTCTATAAGAACCACCCATTTCAACCAATAGGATCGCTCCATACTCCTCATGTCTTCTTTGTCGAAAGGTTTGTCTATAAAGTTCAATAATCGACCCGCTGGTGATTTTGGTTCCTGTTGACAATTTCCAGTGAAATTCTGTGCCGGAGTCTACATAGCAGCCAAAAACCCCGAGTGGGATTAATGCGAAGTGAAATTAGCATACCATAAAACCGTAAGGCACTCAGCAAATGTAAGGATTCCACTACGTAAGAGTGTTAGCCGTTTCTGTAAGGAGAGTAGATTCCGTTCTGCGTTCATGTCACTCGGGAAATTTGGGCGCTATATAGACTCGCGTACCATAGGTAAGTTGAACGCAAGAATGAAGATCTTGCATGTGTGAGGGATTTGCGATTTGACTGTTGTTTCTCATGTAAAAGTTCGCGAGAAACACGATGGTGCCACTGCTTTTCTCTGAAATCATCTCCCAAGCTCAAAAAAGCTCTCAAGTTGAGGCCAAAATGGAGGGGATATCCCGCCCTACCCTGAGAGTCCACCTCTACATCAAAACAAACTCTCCATGCAAAGTTAGGGAGCAAATACATTAGCAGGGTTGCCGTGTTTTCAGTTTTGGAGTCTTCAAATAAAGTGGCAGCCCTGTCAATGTATTTGCTCCCTATCTTTGCATGGAGAGTTTGTTTTGATGTAGAGGTGGACTCTCAGGGTAGGGTGGAATATCCCCTCCATCTTGGCCTCAACTTGAGAGCTTTTTTTGAGCTTGGGAGTTGATTTCAGAGAAAATCAGTGGCACCATCGTGTTTCTCGCGAACTTTTACATTAGAATCAACAGTTAATTTGCAAATCCCTCACACATGCAACATCTCCATTTCCAGTGAAATTCTGTGCCGGAGTCTGTATAGCGCCCAAAAACCCTGAATGCGAGGTGAAATAGCATACCATAAAACCGTATGGCACTCAGCAAAAAAAAGAATTCCGCCACGTAAGAGTGTTAGCCACTCCGTAAGGAGAGTAGATTCCGTTCTGCATTCATAGCACTCGGGAATTTTAGGCACTAGACTCGCGCACCATAGGTAAGTTGAACGCAAGAATTCACCTAAATAAATACACGCGATGCAACGTTTCAACATTTTCGCTGCCTTTCTATTTTTTACGGAAAAATTGTTGGTTGAATCTGTTTGCAAAATTCACTGAATTTTATCGGCAACACAAAGAAAATTCAGTGAAATTTCCAGACAGCTTCGTTGAACAATTTCTCTTTAAAAAAATGAACTGGCGGTGGTTTCGAAGCGTCTCATGGCGCAAATGATACTTTGCCAGAAAGATGACGATATTCAACTTGAATCACAATGAGAAAAAATTAAACTGAAGACGTCGTTTAAAATGTAATGACTGTAAGTAAAAGAAGAATAGAAAGATGAAATGATCACAGAAATTGATAAAAAATACATCGTATTACTTACCACTCCAACAGGAGTGCCCATAGTTCAAGCAGGACCCTGCAAAATAGAAGAAAGATATTCATCAGAAACTGGGAACTTATATAATCTCCAGAATTTCACCGATGCAAAGAAAAACTTCATGACTTCTGAGCCTTATACACGAAATCCTCGAACAATCTGTAAAGGGCTACTAAATTATGAACGAATTTTGAATCGCAAATTCATTTTTCTGAGGGTAAAGTTATAGGACCTTTCGTCAAGATTATTTGTCAGCGCACCTGTTTTTCTAGTAGTTTACGTCCACACGTTTTTTCTGCAGGGGAGTTTTGGTCAAATATAATATTCTTGACGGCATACTGAGGAATTTTTCTGCCTAAATCGAGTCACTTTTTTCTCTAATGAAATTTTAAAGTTATGCTAAACTTTATTAAATACGGATGCTAGGACTTGATGAGTTTTAGGACTACCGCCATGTTAAACTCCTGAATTTGACCCCAAAATCAACAAACATCTTATATTTTGAAATGTACGCTTATTAGGATGATTTCTTCCGAACTTTAGAGGAATGTGAGTATTCCTGGAAAAGGAAAGATTAAAAATGAGGGGCTTGGAGGACAAGGCGCATAAGTGCAGTTTTTGCCAATGCGAGAAATACGTGTTTGAGTTTTTGAAATTACATGGATCCTTAAATGGCGGAAAGAAAGTACAGACTGACTTTTTGATGCTTAAAAATTGGCAGTTGATATAGCGAATTTCCCACAAACTATGCACTAGGATTAGTTTTACTGGAAATCATGAATACCTCAATTTTTTTTCAAAAACTGCACTCATGCGCCTTGTCCTTAAGTCCCTTAAATGAGCTTTGAAAATTCAAGGATAAACCTCGAAATTAACTATAATCGAATTTCCTCGTTCGAAAGTACGGTCCAACTCCGAAACAAAAATAGTGAGAACGAGAGAAACATGAATTCAACTGAAATTCAGTTGACAAAACGTGGTTATCGGGCATGTCATTCAGTTTCTAAAAGGAGCCTATGCAACGCCTCTGTTGTGAAATAGTTGCTTGAGGTGCCGCGTCGAGCGGGCGGTCAGTGCGTAACGCGCATTGGCGCCTACAAACCTAAGTGGATACTTCAAACATTGCGCAATGCGTGAAGTATCCACTTAGGTTTGTAGGCGCCAGTGAGCCTCTCGCGTTGGCAGCACGCCGCTCTGCTCTGTTTGACTCTAATATTTAAACTCGCAGAGTCAGCGTTTTTCAACTCGTGATTTTGAAATGCTTGCACTCCCTGCATGAACTATTCTAATTTAAAGTGATAAAAAAAGATATGTATTAAAGGAAAATATGTATACTCTTTACGGGTCAAATCATACAATAATTTCGTTGAAATTATCAAAAAAGTCGGAAATCCCCACTTTAACGCGCAGATTTATTGCAATAAAATTAAAATAAGTTGAAAGGTTTCGCTGCATTGCCAATTGCCTGCCTCTCTGATACATGGAGCGCATCTTATTGATGGTTTAAAATTTGCATTTCGGTGGCTAAAGTGCGAAACCACACATCTGCTGCATTGCGGCGTTTCAAAATCTACATCCTACTTTAATTTTTTCGAAGAGAAACGAGTACACTTCATACCTTGAAATTTATACAGGTTGTGTTTTACCGTCAGAGAAGAGAAAACATGAAAGTTTTCAAGATAATCAGTTAACCAGCTTCCCAAAGAGAAAATAAAGTATGATGGGAAGTCTGCGATGTTGCAAACAGTGCTTTCGCAGTTTGGCCGTCAATTTTTTGACGAAATGAAGTAAAGACATTGACATTTCTCTAAAAAAATCACACTTTTACCACCTCGAATCACAATTTTATCTCAATATTTTCATTACACTGTTCTACTCGAGCATGAAGATGTACCTACCCAAAACCAATTTGGATTGCATTTTGCAAAAAGGAAGCACTAGCATTGCAATGTTGCTGAGATTGTGCAACTTCTTTTGTCTTAGAGGAAAAACCCGATTATCCCTTAATAGTTTCTATTTTACTCGCTAAAAACTGTAAATTTAAGACAAAAATTACCATCTAAATGTCATAGTTTTACACAATTTCCGCAATTTTATTGCAAATGATGAAGTTGCACAATCTTAGCATCATTGCAATGCTGGTGGTTCCTTTTTGCAAAATGCAATCCAATTTGCAGTGGAATTTTTTCTCAAAATAATTTCATACTTGTAATTTTAAGTAACATCGATCTCGTTTACTTTTTTGTCGTAGGTGACGGACCTCAAATCCAAACTCGAAAGTCTTGAAACTACCAGCTTAAATGATTTCAACGAGCTTCGCGTGGAGTACGAAAAACAGATGGAGAACATCCGCTCTTTACGGCAGTTATACGACGAGCGCGCCGCCGCCATGTCCCTCGAACACCAACGCCAGATGGAGCGAGAGCGGGCCAAAGTCGAGGTCCTCGAGCTGAAACTACGCGATCAGGAAACCGCCTTCCGCGAGCACAACGATGAAGTAGCAGAGCTTCGGAAAGCAGTCGAGCGAGCTGAAGCAGAGCGCGAGAAAGTCACCGGCGACTACAACGAGCTCAAAGAGCGCACATCATCCCTTTCATGCGAGAACAAGGCGCTCTCCTCCCAGATGACGCTGATCAACAACCTCTTCTCACACATGCTCACCGAGCCGGACTTAGATTTGGACAAACTCACTTCTCTACTCAAAGATAATCACAACCTCATCAACGACCTGACCATCAAAGGCGACATCAACGAAACTGCAGCCCTGCTCGTACACATAACTCGCCAGGCCGAGGCGAACGATGAATCTCGCGTCGAGACAACGAAAGAGCGCGACAGCGTACAGCAAGAGATAGCCGAGAACCTTCCCAAAGTCTGGCGAGTTCTGCTCGAGCTGCTGTCACATTACTCAGCGCCGATCGCGGTTCCCGAGGCCGACAAGACCAACGGATGTTACAAGGATATCGAAACGCCGTACGGCACGAGGAGCGTGATCAGCGTGAGCCAGACTTTCCTCAGACTCAAAGATCTCATCCTCGAGAAGAACAGTCTGGTGAAAGAGGTAGGACGATTGAAGACGCTGAACACGACGCTGGAGACGAGGCTCGACAACCAGGAGAAGAGACTGTCTGTTGTTTCGAGCGAGCTGCACAAGACTTGGGGTGTGGTGAGCAAGCTCCGGATGCAGCACAAGCAGCTGCACACGTCGGAGCAGATCCTGCGGTACGAGCTCCAGCACAAGCGGCTCATGCTCAACGAGTTGAAAGAAGAGCTCGAGTACTGTCGCGTCAAGTGGGAGGAGGCTCGGAAGAAGAACGATCAGTCGGAGGAGGATTGGCTGGAGCTGAGGAAGGAGTTCTCGGAGAGGAAGATTCGTCAGACGAGCAACTCGGCTGAGAGCGGCTACGACGAGGATGACAGTGGGCAGATAGGGTCGTCGGATAGCCCGTCTGAAGATGCAGATGAGATTGATCTTCCAGAAGACGATTGTCCAAGCTCGACGTCTGTATCTCCGGAGCCGAGTTTTATTGGAAATACAGGTGAGAAGGGTGAATTGTCAAAGGCTACAGCCTTAGCGAAGGATGAACATTCACAAACAATGACCATCTCGTCCATGCAGAGTCCCGACAGAATCTGTGCCGAAATACCAAAAGATGGAGAACCAGTGGGGTCTCACCAAAGCCCGGGTTTACGGACAACCTCTCCGGAAGATAGCAGCATTGGAGATGAAGTTGTCATCAACGGAAGTGAGTCTCCAGAGAGTCAAACAATGAAAGAGGAGAAGCAGGCCGTAATGTGCGAATCGCCAGAGCCAACAATAAGCGTTGGTGATAATATCAGTCTACATGATGTGAATCAGATAGAGGCAGAAAAAAAGGAAAAAGAAACTGAAACAAGTACGGACAATGTTACACCTGAAAGGACTTCTGCATGCAGTGAGGACGTGCCAAATGTGGCAGAGGAGAAACACGTATTGGAAAATACGGGCGAGAAAAGGTTCGGAAATTCTAATGTTAGTTCAAGTATTGAAGTCGATCTGCTCACGCAAGAAGACATGCGTAATTTAAAGCACGAGGTGGTTGCTCAGAGAGAAGTAAATGATGGTCTGATTTTATCAGAATCAGAACCGAGGCATGTCACTGATCCTACTAATTTACATAGCTCAGAAGATAATGATTTACAGCATAATGAATCAGAAGTCACCAGCCAACCTGAATCTTGTGTGCCAAATGAGACTTTTGGGTCATGTGCACTACAGAACTCTGAAAAAGAGATGGAAGGGAATGAAGGTAAACAATGCAAAGAAGCTGCTGAAAATAGTGATGGTTTATTGGACACGCGTGCTCTTAGACTGAAGCGACTGGAAGAGCAATGCACCTCTGTGCTGAGCAAGATGTCCAAAACTTCTCAAAGAAGTGATTCAATGTCTTCTAGATTGGAAGAACTGCATAAGAAGCATGGTTCTTCAGAGGTAGTGGATTGTACAAATACCTCTGAGGCAAGAACCAGTCCATCGGCTGAAGATTCCCAAACAAACTCCAATTTTTCAGGGAATGAAAGTTCAATGACTTGTGATGAAATTTTAGATGCTCGCGCTCTTAGACTTACGCGTTTAGAGGAGCAGTGCTCTTCTTTGTTGCACAAAATGGTCAAGACTTCTGAAAGAGGTGATTCAATTTCCGACAAACTAGATCAACTGCACGAGCAGTATGGGTCTACGGATGCAGAAGCAAGCGAATATGGCTTGGAACCGAAAAGTGAGCCAGAGACGAAGCAAGAAGCAAAACAGGATAAAGCACCAGAGAAAGTGGAAGAATGCGAAAGTAGTGAGGCTGTGCTAGACGCAAAAGCTTTTCGTTTGAAAAGACTGGAGGAACAATGCTCTTCACTTCTGACTAAAATGTCAAGGACAACTCAGGGAGGCGATTCAATTTCTGACCAACGAGATCAACTTCACGAGCAGTATGGACCTACGGATGCAGAGGCAAGCGAATGTGGCTTGGAATCAAAAATAGAGTCAGATACAAACCAAGGAGCAAGTCTGGTTCCTGAAGCGGATGAAGCACTAAATACTGCGGAAGAATGCCAAAGCGGTGAAACTGTGCTGGACGCAAGAGCTCTCCGTCTGAAAAGACTGGAAGAACAATGCTCCTCTCTTTTGTCTAAAATGTCGAGAACATCTCAAAGAGGCGATTCAATTTCTGACAAGCTAGATCAACTTCACGAGCAGTATGGATCTACAGATGCAGAGTCGAGTGAATGTCGTTTGGAACCAAAAAGTGAGTCAAAGGTAAACCAAGAACCAATAATTCCAACCTTAACAAACCCAGAAACAGGGATGGTTCCTAAATTAGATGAAGAACAAAACAAAGAGGAAGAATGCAAGGGCAGTGAAGCTGTGCTAGACGCAAGAGCTCTTCGTTTGAAAAGGCTGGAAGAACAATGTTCCTCGCTTTTGACTAAAATGTCAAGGACTTCGCAAAGAGGTGATAGTATATCCGAAAAATTAGAGGAACTTCACTCTCAGTATGGGTCTACGGAGACAGTGGCAAGTAGCAGCGATAGAGAGAGGGTAGGAAGTAGGCCTAGATTGCAGCGAATGAGGCGGCAATCAACTTCAAGCTCGGAAGGGTCTACGGAAGTAAAGGATATCGACAAAACACAAGAAGTTCAGAGTAGTTCAGATCCACCCCCAACTAATGGAGGGAGCAGTGCTCCGATGCAAGACAGTACGGGTACCATTGAAGCTTCTGAGCGACTGGGATATGATTCTGAGAACAATCTAACTTTACATAATGAAACCTCTGCATTTGAAACTGAATCTAAAGGCTCTGAAAGAGATGTAGAATCAAAGTGTAGTTCGATTACTGCGACCTCTCTAGACGCACCAGATGACTCTAAGGAAATTCCAGGAGACTTAATTGCAGGAATAAACGAAGAGGTTGAAGAATCATCTCTCTATCTGAAAGAACAACTTTCTCCTGGTGATCTTTCCGATTCCATATCAGCGGTTGACTCGACAGACTTGCTTGTAGAAAACAATGAGCCGACTCCTTCCCAAAGGAAAGAAACCACACAAGAATACACTTCGCGGTCTGACGAGGTTTTTAAAAGCGACATGGAAAGTCAAAATGAGACATTCAAAAATACAAGTGACCGACTTGAAAACCGATCTTTGAGGCTGACTATGCTGGAAAATCAATCCCAAAATTTGTTCAAGAGATTGACAATAACTTCCAATAAGCGAGAGGCTCTGTCGAACAGGCTGGAGAGTTTGCATGAGCACTACGGATCCACAGAGAACATTACTTCTTTGGAGATGGTCTCAACTTCTGGCGGAAATGAAGACAGAGTAAAAGCAGACGATCCTGTAGAAACTAACTCCTCCGAATCTTCTTTGGCTGATTTAAAACGAACAGGAGAGGAACCGTCAGATCCTTCAGTGGAAATACCCTCGAATAATAATGCAGGATTCTCGACACCACCTCATGAGGTTTCCTCTACATCTTTGTCTCCAGAAAAAGGTCAAAATTTAAACGGAAAATGAGTCTCAAATACCCTAAACAGCAGTGGCATGGCGTAAATTGCGATGTATCGATTGTTATGCCATTTGAACCTATGGTAAAGAATCGATTATTAAGGTGTTCGCTGCGAATACCCTGTCTATCGATCTTTTTCCATAGGTTTAAATGGCATAACAATCGATACATCGCAAAGCACGCTACGCCACTGCTAAACAGATGCTCCACCCGCGGGGCTCCAGCCATTGCACGCTGGCCGTGATTAATGCAAAGCTCCTTCGGATGATACCAAGTAGCATTTTTCAACGGAAAAATCGCGATTTGTTGCGATTTTGTCGGCGATAAAATCGTTAAGATCATCAAAATCTGAGCGATTATCCTCGATCTGTTTGCAATAAAATCGCGATTTCATCGCCTGGCACTTTATCGCAACAAAATCGCGATATAATTATGGCGATTTAATCTCGATTTTATCGACGAAAATTGATCACGATTTTATTGAACAAAAAATTGCGATGCATAGCAATTTAATCGCCATAAATCGCAATTTAATCGCCATAAATCGCAATTTTTTATTTGATAATATTGCGATAAATTGCCATCGATATAATCGCGATAATCAACCGATAAAATCGCTATTTATCGCGATCACTGCTACTTGGGAACGTAGTCTAAAATCAGGAAAAACTACCACGGAATAGTTACGTAACAATACTATGTTGTTATACTGTACCCCTTGCACCTGCTAATATTAGGGTCAGTTTTCATCTAGATGATGTTATTTTTCCAAAAGAATTTGCAAGCGCGATTCAAGACCAACGAAAAAAGATATTGGTTTCGTAAAATTTGGTGGTTGAATTTAAATTTATATTGCACGTATACTGTGGTACTGTAGACACGAATATTACCCTTATTATTAGTAGATAAAATATTTGGAATCGGGAAAATCCGAAATTAGGTCGTTTCACGTATTTTCGTACAATTTTATATTTTTTCTCCGGCTTCTTCATGTTTTTAATGAAAAAACTAAATAATTTCAATCTAATAAATTAAAATATTAGAATTTTTGTGGGAAGTATCACAAAGCCTACAGCGTATCGCTGATGAACTCCACCGCCCGTTTATTGTAAAATGTCACTTGCTACGTCTTAAAAAAGAACGAAATGAAAGCTCTTCCTTGTATACTAATAGACATGTGAATTTATAATAATTTTAGAAAATTGAAATTTATTCATTATTTGTTTTTTTGCGTGGATCTCTTTTAGTAAAGCTTGATATCATTGAAATATTTTTATACCCAACATTCACACTCGTTTTCATTTCACTCCTCATCTGAACAAAAATTGAATCGGTGAGAACGAAAACACACTAATTCGGTAACTTCAAAATGCTCACTTTTCATTATAAGGACAGACTATTTTCATAAAGGTCATTGAAGTTACCGTATCTGTTCCAACTTGGACATTTAAAGTGTCCTTAAATACTTGCTTTTAGGCACCAAAAATATTTTTCCGAGGCTAATTTCTTCACCTACGATGCAGTTTTGTGTGTGTCTTGACTCTTTTAATTTTCTCGAGTTGGTGTGTTTCCGTTCTCACTGATTCATTTAGATTGCAAATTAGCAGCACGGGACTCATTACACTTCAGTCGCCAAGATTAGGCTGCTTGCATCACCATAATTCTGGGCCATGAAACATTTTCAATAGGTAACGGATACATTTAAAGAAACAAGCAGAGATATCCAACACAAAGTGTTGATATGGCGCGTCAATAATTCGTACCTTGGATGTTGCACACTTGTCACAATAAAGGAGCCAAAAAATCCTGTCATATCTCTAAGGCACTCAGGTTTGTGATCTAAAACAAATGTGTACACAGTTATTGTAAAAATGAGACGATTTTATTAACATTATATTTATAGACTACATAAAAACTGGACATATATGAGAAAATGATACATTGTTTATTTATAAAAGAATACTGAATGAAAAATTTAAAAGATATAAATTTTAATAAATATTTGTAAAATTTACAAGTTATCAATTTGTTATGAAGTTAAGAATTTGTACTGATAAAAATTGGAGAAGTGTGTCATTAATAATCTATTTCCATTCTAGAGTTGGATGCATTTACATAGACAGCTTCTTGAAATAAGGAAATTTTCGTGTCAAATATTTTGACTCTGCGGCCAATATGCTCTTTCTGAATTATATTAACATTGGCGTTCCATAAAATAAGATTAAGTTTATTATCAGCATAATCTGTAAGTGTTACTGCTCTGCGTTCATATGGTTTCTGATATGTATTTATGCCGGAGGAAGCAGAAAATACTTCAGTAACAGTGCCTTCGACATGAACAATAGTATTTTGGGGAATCAAGTTATTATTAATGTCTTCAAATGCAGCAAAATTGTGAGTGACATCAGGCAAATTGACCTTGTTTTTGCTGACTCGTTCGATTTGTGTTTTCTGGGACGCAATTAATTCATAGGGATGACTTGTTTTATTAAAGAGTGGTGCAGCAGGCTTTACTATTGCCTTCGATATTTGATAACTTTCATTCAATTCTAAAATTGAGGCTAATTTTTCAGCTTGTTCATTGAATCCTGTTAACAGAATGGGCCTGTTGCAAACTTTTGCTAGAGCAGAATGAAGAGTTGTTTCCTATAGATAATGCCTCAAAAATCACGATGAGCGCATCGGCAAAGTCTGAAATGCACTCATAAATTCACAATCTGCGTAAGAAATTTGCGTTATTTTGAGCTTCCCGCTTCAAAAACGATACTACTGCACAGGTGAACATTTTGTTAGATGAGTCCCTCCATCGTCGGCAATATTCATCATGGCCGACGCTTGCGCAGTTCCGCGAGTAATTCGAGGAGAGTTCAAGATCAATTAAGGCGGGCGAGGAAAATATAAACGTAAACACGCCGATTGTTATCTGTTTTAATCCTGTTCAGATGTTATCTCGTCCCATCACACGTGTTTTGGCGGACTGGCGTCGGCCATGATGAGTATTGCCGCCAATGGAACGGCTCCTCTAACAAAATGTTCACCTGTACCGTAGTATCGTTTTCGAAGCGGGAAGCTCAAAAAACCGCAAATTTCTTAGGCAGATTGTGAAGTTGTGAGTGCATTTCAGACTTTACCGATGCGCTTATCGTGATTTTGGAGGCATTATCTGTAAGAAACAACTCTTAATTTTGCTCTAGCAAAAGTTTGCAACAGGCCCATTTGGCCAGACATATCTTGAAGGATGGACTTAATTATTAGTCCATTTTTCTGGGGGCTTTTATAGGAAGCAAGACTGGTAAGCGAGACTACTTTACCAATTATAGGCTTTTGATTTTTGTCTGTGTTAATTTGTGTGATCGGCATGTTTACGTCTACTGCAGACTCATCTAATGTTTATGAAACATAATGTACAATATAAAATAAGAAATGAATTTTGAAAATAGTTACATGAAAAAATGAAGATATAGAAATCAATAGGAAAGAAATGTCATTACAGGAATAAAAACCCATGATACTTGCTGATATTTTAACTCTTCAATAATTATAGAGAAACAGAGGAGAGAGCATGTTATTTAAGAATAGTACATACATTTCATGATTTCTTTGAGCCTGTTTCTGTCCATCAGTGATAAGACACGTAATTACTATTCGTATGATATTGAACATGAATGAAACCAAAAAGGAGGTAACCAGGATAGACGATACTGCCATGCCAAGGAAGAATGTTGTATGAACATTAGGGAGTTGCCTAATTTCCTCCAATAAAATGTTTATTTTTGACGATAATTATCAATATTTTTTCTAGAAATTTGCAGACTTTTATGATGATATTGCAAGCAAAAATACTTGAGAAATTGAAAGAAAAATATTTACAAACTGCCTTGAAATTTAGTGATTTGTCGAAGGAGATTTGGCAATGTCTGGAGGTTCATATGGCGTTTTTCCTTAGCACGGCAGAATAGTGGAGAAAATATTATGAGGGTGGATTATTTTTGGTCAGGCATATTTTCATTGGTTTGGAAAAGGAGGCTTAATCATTGAACACATCCTCTTAATTTGTGTTAAGGTACAAATAATTAAATGATCTAGACAAGCACATCAGCGATGCACAGTTATGCATAACCACAGTTGATTCATATTTTACATTAATCTATTTCTCTTGAAGCAAAAAGAATATTGTATGTTATATTTTAAAAAAGTAATATTTTGACTGTGAAACTGTAAATATGCGTATTTTGGTTTCAGTGTTTCAAAATTTCTGCAAAAATTTCATATTTTAAAAGGAGACAAAACCAACATCATGGCTTGGAGATTTCATAGAATATTCTTCACAGAAAAAAGGAAAATCATTGAAATTTTGAAACCATGATGTTCAGTAGTTTTCCAAGTAGAAAATAAAATGTGCCAGGAATTCTGCAACGCTGCAAATGGAGATATGTATTGCTGCAGTTACACCATCAACTTACAAGTGTATATTGTATTCGCATTTAAATTTTTTCTTACCGTTAAAATGCCAGGTACTCTTCTTATTGTTATCTTGTTCATCAACTTCGGAGATGACATAGTCAATATCAGTATCTTCTGGAAATATGATTATAAAAGAAAAATACAGATTACGACGGCAAATAATGATTATTATAATGTAAATGATAACATAGTAGGCAGATAGGTGAGATGTGATTTTACACTCTCAATATTGCTCAGATGCAATTTAGAAAGTATCTTGACTAAATTTTCATGAATTATTGAATGCAGAATTAATTTTGAAAGGATTGAATGCAGCAGAGTTGCAAAAGTGACATATCTATGTTTAAAATTTGAGGTGGGATAATGGCGGCTCCTCAAGAGCAACGAGGTAGGCGATCTTTTGCACCAACGAACAGAAGACTGATGGCGAAAAATAACCAATCAGAACCTCCCAAAAAAAAGAATTTGCCTAAAAATGGAACTTCGTGGTTCTGCGCAGATTTACCAGTCAGACACGACATCTCGAGGTGGAAAAAAACTCGCTGAAAGCGAATTTTAGGAATCAACACAACTTGACGTAGAGACATGATTGGCTAAAAAATACAACGGTTTTTGATACATCGGAAAATCAACCAAAAATCGGAGACTGGGCGAAACGCTCAAGGTCGCAGAGGTATAGGGAATCCCATAGCGAAAGCAACGGAACGATTGTAATATCATGGGGAACTCCGTTCCCATGACAAAATCATAGTACTCACGTTTTAAGGGTTTTCTGCTTCGTCATGTTGAAGTTTAAGCACCTTGCGCTGCGGAGTATTTTTCTCGCTTTGGAAGTTTTTTCTTTTTCTTGGCGCTACTTTACGAACCATCTGCAAAAAAATTATTTAGCTAAGATAAGCATTTCACAAAAAAAAATTTAATTCTCATCTTCAAAGCATTGGGGAAAAATTAGATATGAAGAAAAACTTATGGCTTGTTGATAGAGGATTGAAAAATACAATGTTAAATGCCATCCATTATATTACCTACATGCTGCCGATAACAAATAATGCAGGAGGAGTTTTATTTGGAAAATCATCAAAGGTTTTGGAAGAATCAATTCATATGTCTTACTTAAGAAAATTATTGAATAGATGAAATTAAAATTAAACGGTCACAATGATTCAATACTATGTGATGGTGCGCTGAGCAACTGTGAGACTGACGAGTTGGCCAGTGAACCAGTGAGCTCTGGGCATCGCTACACAACTGGCTTAACCGCAACAACGCAATTGCTGGAATAGCGGCTGAATGTCTACTTTTTTGTCATACTCATGATGGCATCATGCAATTTCGTACTTTTAAGTCGGCTGAGATTAACAATGCATCTAAAACGATACCTCAACAATGGTATAGATCAAGTCTGGTTGTTTACTGTGGTATAATTGATATACAAACCTAGTACTGACATGTATGTTTCGAATAAGTTTCACTTAACCCCATGATAGAAACTTGTATCAAAATTTCCAAAGTATACAGCATGATCCATCACTTAGATTGAAAATAGCCCCAATATTGATATGTTCAGTAATTAGTGACGTGAACCAAATGGGCTTCCTTCCAAGAAGGGGTTACGGGACTTTGGTCTAATTGTCACATTAAATAAATAAGATGATGAAAAATTTTGATTCTTCATTCAAGGTGATATTGCCCGGTGGATTGAAGGTAATGAGAATCACATGTTCACTTATTGATGCAATAGCACTACTCTGATGCCATAGTGGGCTGAATTCCCTTGTAGACAAAGAGCCATGTATAAGACGAACTGTGGATGATAAATACAGCAGTAAATATAAAATAATCTTACCGTGGATGTTGCTGGATGTGCAGGAAGACAGATGCACACTTGAAACTTTCAATAAAACGATGAAAATCACGCAAAAGAAAAGAACAGGACTCGAAAAAGGAAGCTCGGAATCTACTCGCAAAAATGGCGGACAGACATAGCAGTGAAATCGGGAACTAGGCAACGGCGAAGAAGTATAGACAAACTCTAAGAAGATGAGCACACCAACCGATAAAATGGGGTAAATGCGGAGGCAATCAATCATGACGTACATAAGGGATAACCAATGAGAGCAAAGTAATCAGACGGTGCAATTCTTGCTTTACACAGTACATGACCCGATTATAGCACGCTTTCATATGACACTCATGGTTTCTCGTGACTCCTATTCATCATTTGCTGTTTCAACGGTGGATTGGCTCTATACGGTTGGAAATCGGAAAGGAATGCGACGAAGTGGCGAAGTAATACATCACCAATTTTATACTTGGATCCGGGCTGAGGATCCCGGCATCGCTTGGCAACCGTCATTAGCTATTGTTCGTCGAGACGCCGACGCAGTGAGCAGGAGCGTGGGAAAGAGAGGGGTAAGTGGATTCCTGTATGAGCCACGTTTAGCTAATGGTCTATTGAGTCTCGAGGCTCATCACAGATTGCACTTACACAGATTGCACTATCAGAGCACGGGTACCAACTTTTGGAAATTATAACCGAGGTTACAGATCTGTCAAAGCAACGTTTTGAACAAAACGGAGGAGTTAAATTCTCATTTCGAGAGTGCCGACCTGCTCAGCCATCCTCGAATCAATTCGCTTGATTCTGCTTATATATGCATAATTTAAATCAGCGCGTCGCATTCTTAGGCTTTTTTTGAAAAAACCAAGTAACGTAGACTCTTGGTATTCACTGCACATAAACTAATGAGCCCCAGAATGAGAAACAACTTTAAATCATAATTATTGATGGATAAATAAACTTTTTACACGCTTTGGAAAATCTCAGAAGTTCGCGGTAGTCACTTTTCGGTAAGGAACTAAGGGACTCGGTTATTGTATCGAGTAGGGTTCGAAACGATCGCAAAGGCGGTATACTACGTATACGCGCCAAAAACCAGCCGGCAGATCACACTCCGGTCAGGATTCTAATACTGCCTTGCTAAGGAAGAACGCCGTGTGAACATTTGAGAGTTGTTAAATTTCCTTTTATAAAATGTTCATTTTCGAGGAAAGTTATGAATGTTCTTCCTTGAAATTTTCAGAAACTTAAGGCGAAATTGCGAACAAAATTATCTGAAAAATTGGAGGAAATTGATTTATTATTTTCCCCGAAAACTCGTGATTTACTAAAGGAAATTTGGCAACGCCTGAAGTCTCATACGGCGTTTTTCCTTAGCTCGGCAGAATAATTGTCCCGCCACACGGTGGATCAAGTCAATAGAAGAGGTCGGACAAAATTTGGAAATTTTAAACGCTTGTAACTCCCGTCTATACAAAATTTTGAAGTTCTAAAAGTGGTTTCATTGGTTTCCTCATGAAATTTTCTTCTAAAGGCACCCCTTGAAATTGAACATGTGACATAATAAACATTAAAATTTGCTGTTTTAGCCAAAAATTCCATGTCCGACCTCTCCCATTGACTCGATCCATTGTGCGCCAGTACGAAAAATTGTTATGCATCCATTAAAATTGTCAAAAAGAGAATTTCAGTTATGAAGGATTGATACCTGACGCATAGACAGGTTGGTGGAACATTTCAGACTCCGTAAGATGGTGAACGTGGGTTCACCGTTTACAACTGCATTCGCCGGGGGAAGGTTCGGTAATTTACACGTCAGAACTTATGCGTAATGGTGTAACATTTGAAGTATGCCTACGATGCTGAAGGCACTATGAGCTGCGCAGTTGCAGTTGCGCTATTTGTTGCCCCTGATAACTCCATTTGAATTGGTTATTCTCAAAAATGATTAAGCAACAGAACATCGAACACTGACTTTTTGGAGATTTGGCATTGCTGAGGTATAGCTGCATCATGCTCCAAAGTGATTAGCAGAAAAATTGATGTTTAGGGCCTTAAAAGCATTATAAAAGTCTGGTCATTCTCAGAAAGACTCGAGCGTGAAAGCACTTTATTGATGACTAACGAACAGTACCAATTATTTACATACTCACGATTTTGCAGAACGAACAGAAAACTTCGCTATTTTTGTAAATTTAACTTAGATTTGCAATTTTTCATACATTACATAATCATTTGAAGCAATCCCCTACAGAATTGGAAAAAAACTAAAATCAACGGCTTGCGTATTTTATGCTGTAGAATGCGGCAAAGTTGCTCACTTATTTTTGCCAAAATTGTCAGTTAAGTGTTATTGTTTGTCAGCCTTCGATATCATACTTGCTTATCTTGATTTGATCGGATTTGAATCCATCACGCAGTCATCTCGAATTTTCAAGAATAAAGAGGTAAATATTTGTTGCTTCAGTCCAAATGTGTCTCTGTTTTTCAGATTTTAGTAAGTTTTTGCTTTTAGCGATTATCAGTAACGCAAGCAGTGGTCATTAAGTTATCGTCATATTTCATACAGAGAAACGAAAAATTAAAGTTTTCAAGCACATTACGGCTTGAAATACTAAAACTTTGACTTATTTAAATGGGGGAAATATGTTGGAATAAGTTCGTTCATTCTCAAAAAACCTAGGTGTAAATCAATTTTTTTCTTCTGTTTCCACTAAAATTGCAGGAAACGTCTTAAACAACCGGAGTTCCATTTTAAATTGCAATCTTCATACACATCCATTTTTCTAAGCTCCGAGATTAACAAGAGATCGATTTAAACAGTTCTCACTGTGTTTTTTTAATTCTCATTTCTGACACTCGAGGCTTTTATATGACATTGTGACGTTGGTTCTCAGAATATGATTAAGCGTGTTGCGGGGTTTGTTAGTCTCAAATTGGGGAGGAAAAAAGTTTTTCTTCTGATATATAACGAGACTTTCCTTGCGGAACCAGGCTTATCAGAACTTTTAACTACTTAAAATACTTGCCATGCACTGGAAAAAAACACATTGGATCTAGAGTCCAGACTCTTAAAAACATCGACAAGAAAAAATATTCTTGATTCAATCGGATTTTTGCTTAAATCAAGAACCTAGCCTCTTAATTTGAGCGGATTTCCTTTAGATTTAAGCTTAAATCTGATCGAATCAAGAGTATTTTTTCTTGTCAATGTTTGCAAGAGTCTAGACTCTAGATCCAATGTGTTTTTTTTTCCCAGTGTGGGTGCCTCAATAACAGACACATCATCGTAACTTTCAGAATAATCGGAATGAAAATGACTAAAAGCCCATTATTTTAGCCCATTTTTTGCTGAAAAACCTTAATTATATTAATTTATTTATCAATTAACCATTTGTTCAACATCGAATGCCTGCATTAAAGAAATTGAAAGAAAGTGGAAAAAACAAACAAATGTGTCAAAGAAACTAACTTTAAGAGCAGAAAATTTGAGTAGAAATTCAAGTTTCTCGTCAAATAATGTCACCTGGCTCCAAGTTTCACAAACATCGATCAACAGGAGTCACGTGTCGTAGGATCAATAGGACTCGTACACGATGGTAAACGATACCAGTCGATCTGCGTACGTTAGTGCGCCTTCATTAACGTCTGATACTGTGCAATACCTCTGTGGCGGAATAGTTGCTCAGAGCGCCTTCGAAAGTATCGCTTCGACTTAATGACAGAAGATCACGATTTCAGCTAAAATTACATTTTTGGCGCGTGCGTAGTGAAACTTTTGCTCATCACCGACGGTGTGGTTAAAAACATTCATACCTCAACTTGCGCCGTTGCAAATTTTTCACTGTATCTCTTAATTCTTTTTTTTTTAAGAATTTATTTCTTGTAACCTTCCTAGGGGGAAATATATACATTACCTTAATGTATGTACATAAGGGTGTATAAAAGTAATAACTGGACAATTACTAATTTCTATAATGATTCTCTGAACATGGGTAAACCAATATGAGCAGGATTGTGCAGGTGAAATGAAATATATGAAATATTGAACATTTCCGTGAAATATTTCATGAAATTTCACAAAGTTGTGAAAAATATAAAAAATATGAAACACACTTTTAGGGGCTGAGAATGCAACACACACTATTGAACACTAAAAAACAACAACTAGTTGCCTTCCATTTAATTTTGCATTGAATTTCGAAAACTGTTTTTCAATATTTTTCACATCCTTCTGAAATTTCACGATTTTATTTTCCCTAAAAAATTGCAATCACGAACATGATCACTCTGATATCTGCCATCTGCCGATATTTTTCCGAGGTATGATGACGTTTAGCGATCGACTTGGATGACGTCAAAGTTACCACCCCACGTAAGCCCCCTTCCGCCATTCATTTTAATCGCCTTGGCCCGTTGCTAATCTTCCTCTCAAGACACGAATGGGAAATTAGATTCTTTTCTGAATTTCCGTTCACCTTTCCTCCCTGTCCAATTTTGAATTTTAAACCCCGTCAGTGATGCAGCGTGGATGATCGATTATCGATAATTCCCCGTTTGAAGCTATGGCAAAGAATCGATTATTAGGGTGTTCGTTGCGAAGAACCAGTTTGTCGATACTTTTCCATTGGTTTAAATGACCGATCAATCGATAGATCGCAAAGCACGCCACGCCACTGAACCCCGTATTGGTTGTGCCACCCCCTCTTGCGTCGTAAACCTCTACTGCCGTGCTAAGGAAAAACGCCGTATGTGCTTTCGGAATTTGCCAGATTTTCTCTCAGAAAATATTCATTTTTGAAGAAAGTTATTAATATTTTTCCTTGAAAGTCTAAGACACTTCAGATCAAATTACGGACAAATTTTGTTGTGAAAAATCGGAAAAAAACTATGCACAAATTGTCCCAAGAATTCGATACTTTTCAAAGAAAATTTGTCAACGTCTGGAGGCACATACGGGGTTCTTATTTAGCGAGGCAGACTAGGTATTGCACACATTTGATCGCACAAAAAGATTTCAGTATTTTGCTTTCCTGGTCAATAGTAAAAAACTCCATGGAAATTTTTCGTTGATAAAGGTTATGTTGAAGAATAGCAGATATTT